TACAAGCCTTGCTCTAGCGGGATTTTGCTGCCTCTCTTAAGGTGACTGATGAAAGTACCATACAAGGTCCCACAAACTTCTGACAGTTTTAAACGAATACCGCAACACACTGGCAAAACCCATATAACAACAACCGCAACATAATATTCTGGCAAACGTATATAATAACAACCGGATTTAACACACTGGCAAACACATATAACAACAAATCCATCGCGGGCAATATACGTCCGGACTTATATTTTGCGGATTAAAATAAGAAATTTGGCGGGCTATGTGACTAATGATTGTGAGAAGTGTTTTAAATCTACATTCGAAAAAACCTCCAAAAAACCCTTTCAAACATTATTTATTGCTCCGTGTTATAACGCTAATTTTAAGTACCTCTTGTCTCGTCTAGTGTGTTACCGTTAAAGAAAATTATTTTCTTAAACACTGTCTTTCAAATAGAGTTTATTCTTTTAAGTGAACGCATAAAATTTTAAATTGTATTTCCTATTTGATTAAAAATGAATCGAGAATATATTAAATTTGGCGATTGGAATTCGAATACATTCGAAACGCATTTTCAGCTCACGGGCAATATATATAGACTATAGTAGGCTACTATATCAATAATTGCGACTAACATACCTTCATTTTGGTACACGACAAAAAATATACCAACAAATATTTCAGATATAACGACGGAGTTTTTTGCCATCTTTCACAAACCGCTTATACTAATATATTGATATTCAAACTATAGCGTCTGCGTCTCTCTCTCTCTCTATATATATAAAGTTATTCCGGGTTGATATTGGACGGCCTCCACCTTTTTGAGTGCATCTACGTTGTGTATTTCCTTCGTAAAGTTGGATAACACTAAAATAGAAAATTTATGCCGGGAATCAATGAAAAAATGTAAAATAAATATTCAAAAGGTGTAGATGTCATTTGTTATAAAGTAAATATGGGAAATGATGGAGGACATATAGGCGGTTATATTTCCGACACTCGAAACTTCGCCAAGGTACCTTGCGGCGTGCATAAATGAAATGCATGGACTATTTTCAGCCACACATATAAGTGTGTTTTTAAATGTACAGACGGTTTCGACATGACGTCGAACTTGTCATGTAGATCAAATTTCCGCTGTCAACTGTAGAAATAATAGAGTCTCTATTTGCGAATTTACACTGACGTGCGCGTGATGCACTTATGACGTGACTCAAAAACCACGCCAAGACCCTGATTATAGGTTTTCAGGGCTTGTAAATAAAATTGGACTATTGCAAAGTGTTCCTTCCGTTCGCGACGTGCGCGAAGAAGTGATCACATAGGATAAGTTTCAGGAGGACTTTTGTAAGATTGTATACTTTGGTTTATAACTTCTGGAATATGCGTACAGTTAGCGTATTCCAAATCAAATCCCAACATTATTCTAAAACTGCAGCGAATGCAACATTTTGAAAAAACGAGTCAAATGTCTTTGTGGTATTATAATTTTGTGGTCTTAAATGCAAGGAGAACGTTTGCTAGTTTCACCCGCTAGTAATTTTCCAACATTCCCCCATGCAAGTGCATTTTAATTAATTAATTTTGTACTTTTAACGGCAGATTCTTAAATAAAAAGAAGGCATTAAACAAACTACAATTGGAAAATCATCAGAGTTAAAATTTTTCTGTGCTTTAATTAGGTTATTCTAATGCTTTACATTATTCTTGGCTTGATTTGTTAGTATGTCGTGAAAACTGTTTTAAATAGTCCCTGTGTTTGAGAAAAATCATACAATCGCAGTTGATAGAATACTCATGGTTTGGAGAGTAGATGGAAGTACAATACAACTCATTTTCTTTGTTATTGTCCTGGTTTGTGAAAAAAACTAACCAATAGCAATGGCTTGGCTAAGCTCCTCAACCGTGACTTGAACAACATGTTAATTCAGACCTTACTATTGGTTTATTTGTTCAAAATAGAGTAGACACGTGACGAATAACGAACAATTGAATAAATGTTCCCCGACATAGTTAAGGAGTTCTATTGTACTTTTACGTAGTCTCTCAACCATGTATATATTTGTTTATATTTCATTTTGAGTAAAATTTTAGTTATATCTACATGTTGTTTTATATCGATACTGCTGCTTCAAATATGCTTCCCAAAAGGAAATCATTACACAAACCGCAGATTTTCAAATATCATACAACGTTCGAGCCGTTTTTGGGTGTGTAACATGGTATTACGACAAGTTTGCCCGCGGCTGGGCAAATGAAATATCCAGTCAAATTATCACAGCAATTAATAGGGCGTGTATGCACATAAAACTACTGTTTCTTAATCAAACCTTGATAATTGTTTCCGAAATCTTGGATTGCATTCAAATCCGTATAAGATGACGCATTTTCGTCCACAGTGATCACATATGGAACCTCGTGATTGCTTTTGGTCATTTCTGGAATATTCGGCTCCACGTAAGTCACATTCGTATCAACATCAGATCTTTGCTGGGAAAAATAATGCTTTTGGCATTCGAAGAAACGTACGTGTAATAAAACAATGTGCAAATTGAGTGAAATAAGACGGTTATGCGGTTGCCTTTTTTCACTTATTATATCTCGAAGCCTTCATAACGAAACTCATCATCATTCATCATTCATCATCCATTTACTCGGGGATAACATGAATGATCTGGAATAAGATCTGGATAACGCATCTATATAGTGAAAGTGAAACCGGAAGTCATCGAGCGCCACACGACTCGACTCCACCTTTCCATAGATTTGTCCTTCTTTTGAAGTACGCTTTATCTTATCTTGCTTCAAGTACGGTACTCAATCTAAGCCTTTCATTATCGCTGAAATTTTCACCTCTTAAATATCCCGGCCTCTTACAGAATCATTTGAGTCGTTTAGCACAATTGGCTTAAGGTAAATCATAGTGCATTCACAGCAAAATCTTATGTCCTCGGCTTGCTCAAAACGGCAAGCGGAAGCTCTCTCACAATTCATATTTAGATTGATTCTTCACAGATCGACCTACCTTTAGATTGATGCAAAACAGTGAAGACGAAAATTAGACCATCAAATACGATGGATCTAACAACGAAGACGCTAAACATCTTGGCCAACTGACTGGAAGAGATCAATAATTATGATATTTAGTCTTGAGGCTTTATATAATGATTTTCTATTCAACTGATTAGTTATTGACCCTCGTGTATATGCATATGTTCACAACTTTGGTTAGCGTGCAGATGTTTTTGGAAGGGAAATAAATAAAATATAAATTAGGAAATAATATTGCATAGAAATAAGGTGGAGAGGATCAAGGAAGCTCTAATGTAACCGAACTCCCTATGCATCTATGGAAAAAGAAATCCTTATTACCATCTCGTCCATTTGCGTTCAAATATGAAGCGTTAGGAATTTTGGATTACTTGCTCAAGTTCAAACTTGGAATTAACGTTGTGCATTTCAACTTTGAACAGTGGATAAGACGTATGCAGAACCGAATCAAAACGAAGCCTGTTGCTCTTGGTTTTCTAAACAGACGGGTAGAACTAATGATTTTGAAACAAAGAAATACGCCAATGTACGAATGCCATGTCGATCGAAAAGAAGCATGAAATTTGCGTTTCAAGCCTGAAACGGCAATAAGAACGTAACACGAGTCAAATGCTTGCAAACTGGGAATCAAATTGGCAATTCCATCATTTACACCACTGTATTGTTATGATTCAATAATTCACTGTAGCATCTGCCTCGTACCCAGGCGTTTTGTGGGAAAAATGTTAACTAAAGATTGTGTACAGCTGCAATATAGAGATCAGTGGAAATTGACGTCACACTTACGTCAGTGCTCAACAGATGTAATCAACCCCTACCATCTCCCCCTTCCCCCCCCCTCCCTCCGCCAGCGTTAATGTATTAGGAAAAGTACTATTATTACTAATACATTTAAACATTAAGGTACCACTCTCGGTAAGATTATCAACCTACCACAGTCCACTCACTCTCAAATTTTCAAATTCCATCCTCAAAATTATATTTTCAAAGGAAATTTTTCAAAACGCGTTTGGTGTGAATTAACCAACATACAAATTAATTATGTTTCATGTTTGTTAAAATTACAAACTCACCCTACATCATAGAGTTGGCCTGCTTAATGTTTTCAGGACACAAACTCATTCGAATGTAGTGTATTATTATTATTATGCATTATATAAGTAATACGTGTGTTAAAATAATGCAGCACATTATTTTTCTTAAATAACTGCTGAACATCACAAGTTATATATAATATTATACAGAACCTTATCAACCGTGTAAAATTGACGATAGTGCAGCAATTAAAACACATCGGGGAGATATTTGGCTGTAAAAAATTCTGGCATGGATTATTGGAAGCAATACTCGGTTCTATTTGTCTGCATGATAATGAGGACGCGAGTTTTTTTTAAAACAGAATAATTACTTTAACTCCGTTAATTTCCCTCTCGCGTTTTCCTTATAAAGTATTGGTTATTTCTGATTGTTTTATGCGATCATCGCTTTTTCTCGAAACCCATATATCAGTGCTGACTACTGCACTGCACATGATAATTTCCTTGAATTTAAGATCGAAAAACTAATTTCTTGACAATTATAATATAACAATTTCAATAATACCTTTATCATTCTGTTCAGTACATTTACGCAGAAGGCTTTTCTGGACTCTAGTCATGTACACTGCTTACGCGTAATAAATAAAGAGAGGTAACATCTATGACGCGGTTAACCGTTAACTCGACGTCATTAGTCAAATATTTTGCTTGAAATTAGAAAAAGCGCTCATTAATGGAGACGTGCATTTATTTATATACCTAATTATTAAAAAAACGTATAATATATCAAACTATTTACAAAATACTGTATATATACTGTAAATACTGAATATATATATAAATACTGTAATATATATATATATATATATAATTTTGAGATTATAATATAATAGAAACATTATACTTCCAGTCAAACTCTCGTCCAGTCCCAAGCCTAAACACTTATATTCGATTTTATTTTATTTAGGCAAGATAAAATCATTTATAATGAGAAGTTTGGCTTTTTGACGAGAAGATATTTTGACATGCGTTTTTAAATTTCCATTCGGGAAAACTTGGTTCGACAATTCACATAAAGCCGATTCTCCATTATATACGTGCACTCCGCCCGCGCGGGCGAGGCGTTCTTTGTTTTTCAGGCCCGTCATGGTCGCATGGGCAGTTTTTCAAAGTCCACAGGGGTGAAGCAGGTGGTAATGGAGAATCGCCCTAATATTGAATGCGTGGCGGGGTCCAAGGAATCACGATTAGAATTGCCTAATACGGCTTGGTTTGACTAGTCAAGTCTGGTTACACCATAGTAATAGAGCTTATATGATATGTTTCATTACTGTTTCTTAATTAAACCTTGATAATTGTTTTCTACATCTCGGATTGCATTTAACTCCGTATAAGATGACGCATTTCCGTCCGAACTGATTTCATATGGCTGCACGTAATTGCTCTCAGTATTCGTTTCTGGAACATTCGGCTCCGCGTATGTCACATTTGTATCAACATCGGTTCTCTGCTGGGGGAAGTTTTCCTCACATTCATTCTTCCTCGACGAACGACGCCAAAGACACACCACAATGCAAGAAAAGAAAATTCCAGTAGAAATTCCAGACGCCACCAATGCCACGATAATATACCATTCAGTTCCATAAATTGATTTCTTGGAATCTGTTTTTTTTTAAAAGAAGAATGGAAAGGGTGTAAAAAAACGTTAGCTAGATTTTTCTTTGGTTGGAGAAAATACAATGTGAGCGGCATAGATTAAAATAACTCAATTTGTCACTAATATCTATGCAGGTAAAAAGGCAAGTTACCTGTTCCAGGTCTCTCTGTTCTTGGAAAATTCGGTGTTTGTATTCCTGGAAATGAAAGTTAAATTGCTATTACGTACACTGAGGCGATGATCACAATTAAGGTCCAGTTGCATCAAAGCTGGATAGCGCTATATCCATCATTGCAGAGTTTGCTGGCCTTCATTTTGAACGAAATACTTAAGCACAAGATTTTAGCTGGATTTTTCTTCGGTTGAAGAAAATACGATGTGAGCGACGTAGATTAGAATTAATTAATTTGTTACTAATATCGACCATATCCATGAGGGAAAAAAGGCACTAATATCCATGCAGGTAAAAAGGCAAGTTACCTGTTCCAGGTCTTTCTGTACTTGGAATATTTGGTGTTCGTTTTTCTGGAAATGAAGGTAAATTGCTATTATACTAGGGCAACGATCACAATTAAGGTCCAGTTGCATCAAAACTATATCCATCACGGGCAGATTTTTCTGGCCTTTATATTCTACGAAAATACTTAAACACAAGATTTTAGCTGGATTTTTCTTCGGTTAAAAAAAATAAAACGTGAGCGCCATAGATTAGAATGAATTAATTTGTTACTAATATCGACCATATCCATGCAGGAAAAAAGGCACACTACCTGTTCCAAGTCTTTCTGTACTAGGAATACTTGTTGTTCGTTTTTCTGGAAATGAAAGTTAAGTTGCTATTCATACTAGAACAATAACAAGTTTAAAAGCCGATTAACGCCAAACCTTTGTTAAATTTATGACACCAAAATGGTACGTAGTTAAATTATTATTTTAGAGAAATATTTAGGTTAACGGGATATGGTGATAATACCAAAAAACTATCACTTCGAAAATATCTTGACAAGTAATAAAGTTAACAAAAATTCGTATGTAAACGAATTTTGTAAATAATTATAACGTTCTTTTAAAATACACAAGAATGATTTTCATTGCCGTGTCTCTTTAAGGTGGCTCGATACAGTTTTCAAAAGTTTTCCATCGTTCATCACTTTGACACGTTCAAACAACGCATTGTTTTATATATTTTGATGTTTCTTCTTTTCAAGCGTATTAGTCTTAGTAACAAATTATATATATAATATATAAGATATATAATATATATCTCACCAAGGAAAGACGAAATGGTGGTCTTTGAACCAGTTTTGGGACGAACTGTTGTTATGGTCCGTGTCAAGAGAGATCCTTAATAATCAATAACAATTATCACTATCAGCGTACTAAAATTATTGGATGCTGATTGGTCGAGAGGAGAAATATTATTTCACTAATTATATATCTTCTGTAATATTTGGCAAATGCTGAAATTTTATTGGCTAAGAGGAGTTCGATTTCGGCATTAATTGCACCCTTTGCGTGCTGTAATTGCACTCTTGCTCATGGCTAATAAAATCGCTCTAGGATATACAAATAGGCAATCACCATTCAGGATACAAAATATGAATTTTAAATTCCTGATATAATTCCAAATTGTACAATTCCTCGTAAATACCAAGCAATTGTTGCGATAAAATGAAAAATTTATGTAGAAGTTCAATAAAATAATTGTATCTTTAGATTTCAGGCAAATTTTCTTCGGACTTCTGATCTATAAATAGGTGATTTATAGATGTAACAAAATCAAGCACAAATGCCAGAAAGGGCGCTTTAAACTGTTTGTGTTTAATAGAATAGTGTCCCTATACTCAACCAAGATACTTTTCCGGTGGCTGTACCTGTTGTACTGCATTCAACTCCAACGTCTTGGGCATGAAAGCACCCATTTACTCCCCATCCTCTGTGCAAACATCTAGCCATATTTTGTTCCTTTCCTGTACAAGCGACCCCGTCAAGCCATATTTGACCTGAGCCAGAAGGAACCTGATCCCTATTAAGAGCTCTCACAGCGTCTGGATAACCAAGTTGACGACAGGCAACCCTAGCATCTCTGATATCCCATCCATCATCACAGATTGTTCCCCATCGTCCATTGTGGAGTACTTCAACACGACCAGTACCATACGCCTTGGAAGGTCCTCGTAACCTAATTGACGTTTCTGCAAAAGTTTGCAATCTTAAGTTATTTACTAAATCACGCATATCCCTCATTTTCCTATTTATTTAAGGCCAGAATAACACGTGAGTTCACAGTATTGCAAACAAAAAGCCGTGGTACACCTTTTTGCCGTATTCTCTGGTTTAAACCAAAACGAAATCTGACTTTCTCGTAGCCATATAATGGCATGTGTAACGATTGTAATAAAAACCTTTTTGAGTGGGTTACCTTATAATCCAGACTTCTATTTTGTGTCAAAATATTTGCTACTCATATTAACTTCAGTTTACAATGAAATTATCATATTTTCACTATAGTGCCTATACGTTGCTGTGTGTTTAATAGAAAAGTTAACCAAGATACTTGTACCGCATTCAACTCCAACGTCTTCGGCGTGTTTGCAATTATTTACTCCCCATCCTTTGTGCGAACAACTAGAAATATTTTGTTCCTTTCCTGTACAAGCGACATCGTCAAGCCATATTTGGCCTGAGCCAGAAGGAACCTGTTTCCCATGATAAAGAGCTCTCACAGCGTCTATATAACCAAGTTGACGACAGGCAACCCTAGCATCTCTGAAATCCCATTCATCATGACAGATTGTTCCCCATTGTCCATTGTGGAGTACTTCAACACGACCAGTACCATCCGCCTCCAAAGGTCCTCGTAACCGTATCCTAATTGACGCTCCTGTAAAAATTGCAGTCAATTCATATTCACTAAAATAATTTCCAACAAAAAAAGAATATTTAAGATGCGTTTAAATATCACGCTTGGCATCTTTTGATGCTTTTGAAGATCATTTATATGACACAGAGGAGTTAGAAACCAGCACATTATTCCCTAAATTCAAACAATATTCTATTCCCTGAATTTTCGTCCATTTCGATCAGTAAAAATTACACTGAAATGAGGAAAAAAAAAATTTAATTGATAAAATATTATTTAATATTCTTGTACGTTTGTATGGTGACATCAAATAAGTAAATTAGCTTGTCGGTGCAGGCACCACGTAAGTATTAAATACTCCAAAATAATGATAAAGGACTTCATCTATTGCACTGATGAAGGCCCGGGTTTACGTACCGAAAGCTTTGCAGTATTGAATACTTACCTGGTGTACCTACAAGCTAATTCATTAAACGATATTATTTGCTACAATAACAACATTTAAAGTGCAAGTCAAGTACGTTTTTCGTTTCGGTTCTGCTCAAAAATTGCTTAAATGTAGATGTTTTTCTGATTCGAATTCATTTAAAGACGAACTTAAATGTTAGATATTCAGACAGCACATCGTATTTGAAAAAGTAAAGTTCGAAATGTGAACGACCTGTTTGTTTACACAAGCTTGCATATTTAAAATAGAATATAGAGTATTTCGTTAAGAATCATTGCGGTTAAACCGCATTCTCCGAGCTGGGCAGATTTAAATAACGATATCAGTACTTGAATGCAGAGTTCCTGCATGCAACGCTCTGAAATACCAGTAATGTATGTCTGCATGTACTAAAATACAAAAGGACCGGTTTGGCCGTTTTTACCGTATAAAGGAAAGACCCTACAAAGTGCAGACACGCACTTTCAAATGGATACCGCATCACGTTGGCAAAAAAATAATATTATTATAAATAAAAATAACGACAACTCTATCGGGCATTAAGGCGATTCTCCATTACGCACGCTTCGCCCGCGCGGGCGAGGCGCGCTTTGTTTTCCAGGCCGGTCACGGTCTCATAGATAGATTTTCAAAAGCCGCTTCGCCCGCGCGGGTGAAGCGGACGGTAATGGAGAATAGCCTTTAATTACATGTACGTACGTCATATTTTGCGGTTTGAAATGAACAATTTGGCGGGCTAAAGCAGTACTGCATTGGCTTCAGCTATAGTGGATTTGCTGCTGATATACGTTACAAGACAACACTAAACAGACTATAAAACAGCCATCGAAGTGAATTGGATCCAACAAAATTGGATCGTGTAAACAGACGTTAAGATATATTCTATTCGAAAAAACTCCATATTCCCAAAAACCCTTAAAGATTATTACAATGGTTACATAGTTGATGTTCCTTGGTATAAAATTGTTGTGTATATATTAAAACGCTAAATATAAGTGTCTATTGTCTCGTCGTCTAGTTTGTTGCCTTCGGAGAGAATTCCTTTTTATACACTGTCTTTCAAAATAGAGTTCATTCTCTTAGGTAATATATAACATTAATACATTCCCTCCCTATTTGATTAAAAATAAATATATATAGAGACTATTAAATTGATACTATATTAAATTTGGTGATATGAATAAATTCGAAACGCATATTCAGCTTACGGGCAATATATATAGTACTATCAATTGCGACATACAACATACCTTCGTTTTGGTACACGACAAAAAATATACCAACAAACATAACAGATATAAGGACGGAATTTCTTGTCATCTTTCACAAACCAACTATACCGATATATTGATATTCAAACTATAGCGTCTCCACATAAATAGTTATTCGAAGTGGATATTGCACCTCCTGTCTGGTTCCTACACCTTTTTGAGTGCATGAAGATTGTGTATTTCCTTCGTAAAGATGGATCACGCTAAAACAGAAAATTTATGTGGGAAAAAGTGGAAATGAAATATTCCAAAGGTGTAGATGTCCGTTGTAAGAATTGCATGACACTTTAAATGGGAAATGATGGAAGACGGTTTAAATTAAAGGAATCTCCGGCGCTCAAAATTTCGCGAAGGTACCGTGCATAAATGAAATGCATGAACTATTTTCAGCCACGCACAAGTTTGTTTTTACAACTGACTATAATGTATACAGACGGTTTCGACATGACGTCAAACTCGTCATGTTAATACGCACTTCTAATTTCCGCTTTCAAACTGTAGAATTATTAGAGTTTTTATATCCAAATTTGTACAGACGTGATACAGTTATCACGTGAATCAAAAACCACGTTAAGACTGATAATAGGTTTTCAAGCCTTGTAGGGAAATTTTGTATTATTGCAAAACGTCCCTTCCGTTAGACGTGCGAGGAAAAGAGATTGCATACGGTAATATTCAGGAGAATATTTGTAGGATTGTACTTTGGTTTATAACTTGTGTAATACAGTTATAGCATGTTGAGTTATTTTAAAACTGCACTGAATGCAACAATTGCATTTTGCTTTGTTGTGATTCATAAATTTTGTATAATTAATTCATTTAATTAAAAAAATTAAACGATACTTACCTTGAGTTGATGTTTGATGGGAATTCTATCACATGACATAGGCGAGGCAGGAGTTCACATGAGAAGCACTACATGCGGAGGGGTAAAACGAGAATGCCCGTCGCTTTGTCGAATTGGATCTTTTACACACACTTGGGAATGAAACTAAAAGGCAGGAAAGTATAAAATTTGTAAGCGCACCAGCTTAGCAAAAATGCATCAACTAATTTGCATCCCAGATCAGGGTTTCACGAAGCACAGAAGGATAGTTGGTGATTAAGGCGGCTAGCAAATAAATCGATATTCAGATTTGGTGTAAAATCACTGATTTTGCATATATTCCTGTTCAACTGAAATAGTGCGTGACTGATAACCTATCTGCCGCGATATTAGTTACACCTGACACATGTACGGCAGATACCAACAAATTTCGTTCGATATACACCAATTCCATATGTCAATGGACAACAAATTGAGGTCTCTCGATCTAGTGCCACCTATGTTGTTTATGCGGGCAACCGCTGTGCAAAATAATCCAAATAAACCTGAACATGCATGGGATTCTTTCAAAAATTTGAAAAATGATTTAATAGCAAAAAATCTCCAGATAATTAATATGATATAAAGCTTCGTTGGCCATCTTATATATATCTTTCCTGTATTTAGACACTGTCATAAATTATACCGCCCCTTTCCACCAAGCCAAGTGTTGATGCGTCAAATTTGATCTGCTTCAATTAGATTATTCTAATGCTTTATTTACACTATTCTTGACTTTGTTAGTATGTCGTGAAAATTCTTTAGACAATCATGTGTATGAGAAAATTCATGTAGCTAAAACATAATTAAGCATGCGAGTTGTTTTCGTTTTAAGTAAAATTTTAGTATATAATTTATTTACAAGTTGTTTTATGTCCATACTACCCCTTCGAATATACTTCCTAAAAGGAAATCATTACACAAACCACAGTTTTTAAAATATATACAACATTCAATCCAGTTTTATTCTACCCTTTAGCGTTTTTGGGTGTGTAACATGGTATTACGAGAAGTTTGCCCGCGGTTGGGTTAATGAAATATCCAGTCAAATTAGCACAGAATTAATACAGCATGTATGTGTACATAAAACTAGTGATTCTTGATTAAACTTTGGTAATTGCTTTCTACATCTCGGATTGCATTTAACTCCGTATAAGATGACGCATTTTCGTCCACAGCGATCACATATGGAACGTCGTAATTGCTTTCAGTCATTTCTGGAATATTCTGCTCCACGTATGTCACATTCGTATCAACATCAGCTCTTTGCTGGGGAAAGTTTTCTTCACATATATTCTTCCTCGACCAGCGACGACAAAAACACAGCACAATGCAAGAAAGAAAAATTCCAATAGAAATTCCAGTCGACACCGCGAATGCCATGATAACATACCATTCAGCTCCATAAATTGATTTCTTGGAATCTGTTTTGTTTTCCAGGAATTAAAGAAGAATATAAAGGGGTGTGAAATATATTCGCGTTCAAATTCTCGGTTTTTTACATCTTTAAAGCACAAATTTGCTATAGCTAGCTTTCTAGAAGATGCTCATGAGAGTTACATTTTTTCCCAACTGATTCTTATTGCTTTTAGGCCAAAAAGTTCAAGTTCTTTGCAAACAATCAAACCTGCCTAAACTATCCCTCTTAATATATCCTGTACACAAGTTTACAGTTCACAGGGGCTAGTTGAAAATTTTCGTGTTTTCAAAAATAGACAAAGATGGCGGCAATTGTATATAAACCCCGTCCATTTGTTTACAATTTTTGAACTGTTTTCCTATCGGTCACATTAATATGTTAAAACAGGAAACAACATTTGCGGTATTCTGTCTTGACTCGCTTAACGGGAGGAAATACAGGGTGTATCAAAAAAAATGTCCCAAATGTAAAAATTCCGTTTTTCAGGATATTTTGCAGAATTTGGGAAATTTTTGTGTTCCTAGAGATAGTTAAGACTTAGCTGGTATACCTAGGCCAAGTTTGGTTTTACAGTAACAAAATTATGTTACCGGGGGGGTGGTTCCTTTCCACTGATATTGAGAGGGCTTGCGCGCGAAAATGTGAAGCTGAAATTGAGATATTATTTAGCTGTCTAAAAGTAGGAAAGCTTTTTAATAAACTGTCAAAGTTTCAGGAAAAATAATGCATACTGGGAGCAACGAAATGGTGAATGAATGAAATGGTGGACATGCTGTGGATTAACATCACGAATAAATCGCTTTGTTTTTGTGTTCAGTTTCTCGCTTTAATTTATTCATTTGCACAGCCTTGCATGAGATCGGTCACGCTAAAATCAACCATGCATTTAATCCACTGCGCGCAATGAAATATTTGTCACTTTTAGTGGTCGCGCGTTGCTCCCAGTTTGCATTATTTTTCCTGAAACTTTGACAGCTTATTAAAAAGCTTTCCTACTTTTAGACAGCTAAATAATATCTCAATTTCAGCTTCACATTTTCGCGCGCAAGCCCTCTCAATATCAGTGGAAAGGAACCACCCCCCCGGTAACATAATTTTGTAAATGAAAAACCAAACTTGGCCTAGGTATACCAGATAAGTCTTAACTATCTCTAGGAACACAAAAAATTGCCAAATTCTGCAAAATATCCTGAAAAACGGATATTTTACATTTGGGACATTTTTTTTGATACACCCTTTATAGGTTGAATGCAGGTATAAAAATACTCCTTTAGACCTACCGTCAACAGGTGGACTAGAGATCGTTGGGTCATTTCTGGTGGAATAAGATTCTTAAAAAAAAGAAAATTAAGTCAAATTAGGAAAAGGCATATCTTTTATAGGGGAATGTTAAAGGAAAATTTTGAAGAATGGTGCCTCTGATTGGTCTAACGATTAATTTTTGCGCACCTAAGTGGAAATTTCAAAATGGCGGCAAGTCGTGTAGTCAGTATAGTCAAATTTACTCATTAGGAAATTAGAAAGCTGGAAATTACTTTATATATATTTTCATTATAATCCACATCTGTTTTTATTCTGAAAAATCATTCGCCTTGGGCTCCGTGAATATCACTAACTAAAAACCGAATAAAACTGAATTTGTATAATTTCAATAATTATTTTATCATTCGCTTCTCAATTTCAGTGTCCTATACGGTTGGTTTGTTAAAAAATATTCGTAAAACGAATCTCCGAAGCGAGCCATTGCAAGCCCCAAAGCAGCCAAGTTGTTTACAAAATGGTCGTTGAAGCTTATGATCGGAAGCTTTCATGCTCGCAGCCTCGCAATTAATCTTTGCAATAAATCTACCAAACAAAACTGGGAATGCAATAAAGTAAATGATAATAGAATATATAATATATGATAGAAAATCTGAGAAAAAACACGTATGTAAGGGTACATGAAGCCTGTCGAAAACTAAGAGAGTTTTTGTAGCAAGATTAGTTATAAGACCCTTTCAATTTGATCCTATAAATTTCCCGAAGCGCATGATTGTATATTTTTGCGAGCTTTGGCTGCACTTGTGCGGATCTTTTTCATGCCATGTCTAAAATTTAGTCTTCTTAAAGTCATTTAAATATCTTTTTCTTTCATGCTTTTACCTAATGTGCGACATTCTACTCCAACATCGTTGGAATGATCACAATTACTTTGATTTCCCCAGCCATAGTGATAACAATGGGATATCTTTTTCTCTTTTCCAATACAAGAAACGCCATTTAACCATATGCGTCCAGAACCAGGAGAAACCTGGCCGCCTCGAAGAGATCTAACCGCATCTGGATAACCAAGTTGACGACATGCAACTTTGCCATCTTCTAGATCCCATCCATCATCACAGATCGTTCCCCATCGCCCATAATTGAGTATTTCAAGACGGCCAATACCGTTTTCACTCAAAGGACCTTGTAATCTCAGTGATCCAGTCTCCCCTGTTTATTATATGATGATGACAGTATATTTTACCAAATAAACTCATCGGAACACGTAAAATATTAGTATTGCAAGCAAAAAGACGTATTTTAAGGTGGCTCCATACAGTATCTCGAAATTTTTAGATGCACATTTTAAACAGGTATATTAAGCATCTAAATAGTTCACTATATATATAGAAGCCTAATATCCAGTGTTTAAAATATAAACCATATGTTTATTATAAACACATTTCCTAGTTATTTTGTTTTTTAGTGTTATTAGTTACTTAATTATTTTATTATCTAGCTTCTTACCTTCGGTACTGCATTCCACTCCAGCGTCTTTGCACTGTCCGTATACATATCCCCATCCACCATGAGAACAACTGGCTATATTCTCCTCACTTCCGTCACAAGCGACTCTTTCTAACCATATTTTTTATACTGAACAGTATAAGCCGGAACCTCGTCGTTTCCACCAAGAGGGCGATGAACATCTGGATAACCCAGTTGACGACATGCAACCCTGGCGTCGTTAATATCCCATCCATTGTCACAAATTGTCCTCCAATGTCCATTGTGAAATATCTCAACGCGACCAATACCGTTTGCACTCAATGGCCCACACAGCCTAAGTGATCCAGGTGACTTTCCTGTGAGAGCTGTTTGAATCGTTAAAATAGACACTAATGTTATTTTGTGATAAATGTTTATGGTATTATGTTTATGGTTATTCTTCCGATACTTTTAAAAAGTCATCTCACAGCTTTCGACGAGCCGGAAGACAAAAATGTATTTTAGCCTACAGCCTACTCTAAAGTAAATTTTCATTTACTTGATAACGATCCAAAAAATCGCTTTAAAATTATAATAATTATTAAAAAAGTACAGTTGATGTTCCCGAAAAATATGTTGCTTTTTGACCCTCCTAAAAACTTTTATCATTCGGCAGGCTCGCGACCTGGGCTAAAATTATAGCCTCAAGACTGGGCAGGGCCAGAAACATGCATGTATACCCAATAGCAACAAATCTAACACATGCTTTTTACAGCGTCTCTTTAATTACTGTTTATTCGCATGGTAAAGCAATGTGAATTTAATTGAAACATATTCAGTTTAAAATATACTGAGTATTTACCATATTTACA